ACTAAAATGATCAAGGGTCTGGAGAACAAGCCCTATGAGGAGCGGCTTAAGGAGCTGGGCATGTTTAGCCTGAAGAAGAGAAGGCTGAGAGGAGATATGATAGCCATGTATAAATATGTGAGGAAGCCACAGGGAGGAGGGAGCAAGCTTGTTTTCTGCTTCCTGGAGACTAGGACGCGGAACAATGGCTTCAAACTACAAGAGAGGAGATTCCATCTTAACATGAGGAAGAACTTCCTGACTGTGAGAGCCGTTCAGCAGTGGAACTCTCTGCCCCGGAGTGTGGTGGAGGCTCCTTCTTTGGAAGCTTTTAAACAGAGGCTGGATGGCCATCTGTCAGGGGTGATTTGAATGCAATATTCCTGCTTCTTGGCAGGGGGTTGGACTGGATGGCCCATGAGGTCTCTTCCAACTCTTTGATTCTATGATTCTAAGAACAGACAAGCATATCGAGTTCCGAGGATTACCTGGGAAGGAAACTCACTGGAGCACTGCAGCACATCAAAATACCTGGGAGTGCTCTGACTTATAAGAAGCACTGCTTGAATATCAAGCAAAAAGTGGCTACTAGAAACAATATCATACAAAAGCTGTCTGGCACAACCTGGGGTTCACAACTAGACACAGGGAAGAGATCTGCCCTTGCGCTGAGTACGCATGCCCAGGATGGAACACATCTTACCACACTAAGACAGTGGATGTGGCTCTTAATGAGACATGCCGCATTATCACAGTGTAAGGGTAATGGCTCATGGAGCACTCCTTCAGCTCTCTGCATGTTGCCAGCAGTCCCTTAGGCTCAAGCGGACAATATAATGCAAGACACACCCATCCAACTGAATCCCAACTGCAGAAGCTGTTTATTGCGGGCCAAAGCAATAGGGACAGAATGCATGGAGCATACAATAAAAAGGTCTGTCACGCCCCCAAATGGGGCTGCTAGGTTTTTATCACTTTGACAGAGAATCAAAGACACTTTTTCATTGGTGTTCAAAGATCCATCATTTCATTGGTCTACGCTGGCTATACAAATGTTCATTGGCTCTCCATAATTTTAACGGGTAGGAAGGCACAACTATAGTCTATTGTTCTCCAGCCACTCAGTTGGAAAATATCTACAGGTCAATGCTTCAAGCGGCTGGGAAATTAGGGGAGTACAAATTAACTCGTTCTGTCCTGATGTACTTTTATCCTTGAAAAGTAACTTCCTCTCTGCAGCAATGTTTTCCCAAACTGTCAGCACCTTCTGCAGACAAAGACCTCTGCAAATCGGGACATATGGGATTTACAGTCATTGAAAGCATCCCTGAAAATTCCCTTTTAAAAATTATGTCTCCCACAACAGGATGTCTATGCCCCACACCACTGGAAAAATTATACTGTTTAGCTGGTATTGCACCACCTGACATCCGCTGGGAAGTAGCAGCCAACAATGAAAGGACCAAGGCAGTGACATCTCCAGCCCATCCCCTGTTTAGATATAAGCCAGCTTACCAACAGCTTACATCAATATAAGTTTTCTTAGATCTACAGAGATACTTGCAGGAGCACCTCAGCAAGCAAGAGTCCAAAAGTGGCAGGCTAAAACCTTGAACCTCAAGCTATGGCTGATACCAAATGAAAGTCTATCTCCTGGGCACACAGAAGTCTGGAAGGCGCCGAACAGACTGCGCTCTGGCACCACAAGATGAAGAGCTAACCTTAAGAAATTGGGCCACAAATTTATTTATTTTGAGCATTTATATCCCGTCCTTCTCACCTCTCAAGAGGTGACAACAGGCAATCATTAGATGCCAACATATTACATTAAAAGCCACATTTAAAATTAATGGTTAAAACAATTATAAACAATTCAATTTAAAAACACCTTGCCGATTCAAAGTCATAGTCCAGGTTCATCCATTGTGGTTACTTAAAACCTTTTCTTCCCAGTTATTCCAACTATTGTTCAAATGCTTGATCCCACAGCCAGTTTTTGAGTTTTTTACGAAAGATCAGGAGGGAGGGGGCAGACCTAGTTTCATTGGGGAGGGAGTTCCACAGCCAAGGGGCCACCACAGAGAAGGCTCCAACTCTCATTCCCATCAGTCACGCCTGCAAAGTTGGGGCCGAGAGCAGGGCCTCTCCAGATGAGCTTAACATCCTTGGTGCTTTGTAGAGGGAGATACATTTGGACAGGTTAAACTGGGTTGGAACAAAGTGGAGTCCATGACATGTGAGTGTGGAGAAGACCAAACCACAGACCATCTATTACAATACAGCCTGAGCCCTGCCACATGAACAGTGGAGGACCTTCTTACACCAAAACCAGAGGCACTCCAAGTGGCCAGCTACTGGTCTCGTTGTCTATTTGTTCAGTCACTTCCGACTCTTCGTGACCTCATGGACCAGCCCATGCCAGAGCTCTTTGTCTGCCATGGTCACCCCCAGCTCCTTCGAGGTCAAGCCAGTTACTTCAAGGATACCATCTTGCCCTTGGTCAGCCCTTCTTCATTTTCCTTCCATTTTCCCCAGCATAATTGTCTTCTCCAAGCTTTCCTGTCTTCTCATGATGTGGTCAAAGTACATCATTTTTGCCTCTAATATCCTTCCCTCCAATGAGCAGTCGGGCTTTATTTCCTGAAGTAAGGACTGGTTTGATCTTCTTGAGGTTCAAGGCACTCTCAGAATTTCCTCCAGCACCACAGCTCAAAAGCTTCCTTCGCTTCCTTCCTTATGGTCCAGGTCTCCCATCCATAGGTTACTATGGGGAATACCATTGCTTTAACTATGCGGATCTTTGTTGCCAATATGATGTCTCTACTCTTCACTATTTTATCGAGATTGATCATTGCCCTCCTCCCAAGAAGCAAACGTCTTCTGATTTCCTGGCTGCAGTCTGCATCTGCAGTAATATTTGCACCTAGAAACACAAAGTCTGTCACTGCCTCCACATTTTCTCCAGTTATTTGCCAGTTATCAATCCATCTGGTTGCCACAATCTTGGGGTTTTGTTATGTTTAACTTTTGCACTTTCTTCTTTCACCTTGGTTAGAAGGCTCCTCAGCTCCTCCTCACTTTCAGCCATCAAAGTGGTATCATCTGCATATATAAGGTTGTTAATGTTTCTTCCAGCAATTTTAACTCCAGCCTTGCATTTTTCAAGCCCCGCACATCGCATGATGTGTTCTGCATACAAGTTGAATGGGCTGGGTGAGAGTATTCAACCCTGCCATACGCCTTTCCCAACCTTGAACCAGTCTGTTGTTCCATGGTCAGTTCTGACTGTTGCTACTTGGTCATTATACAGATTCCTCAGAAGACAGACAAGGTGACTTGGGATCTCCGTACCACCAAGAATTTGCCACCATTTGTTATAATCCGCACAGTCAAAGGCTTTAGAATCTATATCAATAAAAATGTAATGTTTGTTTGTGGGATTAACATAACTCAAAAACCCTACTTCGCGGTTTGCTTATTGAGGACTCGATGTTTCACGGGGAGCAGTGAGGGAATACTGTATAGCTGCTCCCCGTTCCTTCCTCCGAGGCGGGGAATAGTGGAGGCAGCAAAGAGGAGTGGATGGAGCGTCCCTACTTTTGTGGATTTTCACTTATTGCAAGTAGTCCTGGAACAGAACACCCGCGATAACTGAGGGAACACTGTAAACCTAATTTTCCTAGTTGCCAACAAACCTCACAACCGCTGAGGATGCCTGCCATAGATGTAGGCGAAATGTCAGGAGACAATGCTTCTAGAACATGGCCATACAGCCCGGAAAATCTACAACAACCCAGTAATTCTGGCCATGAAAGGCTTTGACAAAACATTTAATATAATTGCCAAGTTTTGAAACTTTGTGTTTTTAAAAATACATTACAACTGTACTCTCAATTCGCTCCCGATACGAGAAATAAATAAGCCATGCAAAGCAAAGGAAAGTGCTGCCCCATCTATTATTATTATTATTGGGTTGTTGTAGGTTTTTTTCGGGCTAAATGGCCATGTTCTAAAGTAGAAAATGCCTTTAGAACATGGCCATATAGCCCGAAAAAAACCTACAACAATTATTATTATTATTATTGACTATAATAACTAATGGGGGCCCCGGTGGTGCAGTGGGTTAAAGCACTGAGCTGCTGAGCTTGATGGTCGCAGGTTTGAATCCAGGGAGCGGCATGAGCTTCTGCTGTGAGCCACAGCTTCTGCCAAACTAGCAGTTTGAAAACATGCAAATGTGAGTAGATCAATAGGTAGCGCTCTGGCGGGAAGGTAACAGTGCTCCATGCGGTCATGCCAGCCACATGACCTTGGAGGTGTCTACGGACAACGCTGGCACCCTAGAGTCAGACATGACTGGAGTTAATGTCAGGGGAAAACCTTTACCTTTTATAATAATTAATATTATTGACTATAATAGTTAATATTATTATTATCATCATTGTCTATTGGTGCAGCTGTAGATTATTGATGGGATAGAATAGCTTGAGGAGGAAAGAACCCTTTGTTCTTTCTCCCACCCTGGACACTCCACAGATATATAAACCCCATTTTCCTAGTTTCCAACAGACTTCACAAGCTCTGTATGGCCATGTTCTAGAAGTATTCTCTCCTGACGTTTCTCCTGCATCTATGGCAGGCATCCTCAGAGGTTTTTAGGCGTGGCTTGCTACTGCCTGGGGGAATCCTTTGTTGGGAGGTGATTAGCTGCCCCTGATTGTTTCTTGTCTGGAGTTCCCCTGCGTTCTTTCTGCAAAAAGGCTGGGACTACGCCCTGCTGCTTGGCAGTCTCAGCAAGAGAGAGAGAGAGAGAATCCTTCTTCTTTCTTTCTTCCTTTCTCTCTCTCTTTCTCTCCTTGGAGGGAGCACTCCCTCCTTCCCTCCCGCCTTCCCTCCCACCAGCCGCAAGGAAAGCTCTTTCTCTTTCATGTCTTTGACGTCAGAGCTGGGAAACCAAGGCAACTGTCCATCACGTTGGGAGAGCGCACGAGGCGGGGAAGCAGGAGGAGGAGGAGGAGGAGGAGGAAGAGGAGGAGGAGGTCTGCCCGCTTGCTTGCTTGCTTCTGCTGCTCCAGTTCAAGCCGGGCGCCTTTGGAAGGGAGGCAGGCACAATGGGCGCCTTCATTTGGTGACATTCCAGGGTTTGCATTGAAATAAAATTGGGGAAAACCCCTCCTAAACACCCCAACATTAAGCCTCAAAGCAGGAAAAAGTCTGGACGGCGACTGCAAGGAGTGGAGTGGAGTGGGGAGAGCAAAACAAAAACCGCAAGTATTGTGCGTAGATCTTCTCCCATCTGGTTGTTGCTGATAGAATTGGGGAAAAGGGGGTTTTGCATCCGCACCGTGGAATTAATGCAGTTCCCTCCCGCTCAATGCTGTGCAATAATAGGAGTTGTAGTTTTGCAAGGTTCCCCTGTAGTTTTGCCTCCCCTTGGGTGCGTCTACGCTGCAGAATTAACGCAGTTTGGTCCCGCTTTGATAATGCTTTGGAAGCCGCGGCTCCTGAGATTTGGAGTTTGCAGAACTGGGGTTCTATAGCATAGCACTGAGGCATGGCAGCTGAAGTGGGATCAAACCGCGTTAAGAAATCTACCGTCTAGATGCTCCCTTTATAGCACGCTAATCCGGATCGAATGCGGGATAACATTGCGATCCTCAGACCCTGAATTCCTCCCCTTCCTTATAACTCAGAATATCAAGGCGGAAAATCACACCAGATCTGCTCTGAACCGGGTTATCTTGAGTCCAAACTGCCATATATTCCAGATCAAAGCAGATAATGTGGGATTATATTCAGATGTGCTATTCCCCAAGCCTTGACAAAAGGGACCGAGTCTGGCGACGCCCAATGGAAGGAAACAACAAGCAGAGAGAGAGAGAGAGAAAAGAAAACAGCCCAAGTTTAGTTTAATCTCCCTCTCCATCAAATAACATTAATAGGTTAGGGCTGCATGCAGAGACCTCCCCCCTGAAGCCCCCCATTAATAGTCTATTGCTGCACCAATAGTCCTCCCCCCAATAAAAACTACCCCATCAATAGTCTAGGGCTGTGCCAATCATTTCTCTCTAGGGCTGCACCAATAATAATCAACCATTTCCCTCCCCATTCTATCAATAGTACAGGGCTGCCCCCATAGTCTAGGAGAGCCAGTGATTTCCCTCCTCGCCCCATCAATACTCCAGGGCTGCACCAAGAGTCCATTCCTTTCCTCCTCAAGCTATTCTATCCCATCAATAATCTATAGCTGCACCAATAGTCAATAATAATAATAGTAATAATAGTCAATATTAATTATGATAGTCATTATTATTATTATTAGTAATAGATGTGGGTGAAACGTCAGGAGAGAATGCCTCTGGAACATGGCCATACAGCCTCACAGTAACCCAATAATAATTTCCCTTCTCGCCCCATCAATACTCCAGGGCTGCATTAATTATGATGATGATAATAATAATAATAATAATAATAATAATAATAATTAATAGTAGTAGTAGTAGTAATAGATGTGGGCAAAACGTCAGGAGAGAATGTTTCCTGGACATAGCCATACAGCCCAGAAAACTCACATCAACCCAATAATAATTTCCCTCCTCGCCCCATCAATACTCCAGGGCTGCGCCAATAGTCCATTCCTTTCCTCCTCAAGATATTCTATCCCATCAATAATCTACAGCTGCACCAATAGGCAATAATAATACTAATACTAATAATAGTCAATAATAATATTAATTATGATAGTCAATAATAATATTAATTATTATAGTCCATAATAATATTAATAATAACAATAGTAGTACATGTGGGTGAAACATCAGGAGAGAATGTTTTTGGAACATGATCATACAACCTGGAAAACTCACAGCAATCTAATAATTTCCCTCCCCACCCCATCAATACTCCAGGGCTGCACCAATAGTCAATAATAATAATAATAATCAATAATCAATAATAATATTAATTATGATAGTCAACAATAATATTAATTATTATAGTCAATAATAATATTAATCATGATAGTAGTAGTAGTAGATGTGGGCGAAATGTCAGGAGAGAATGCTTCTGGAACATGGTCATACAGCCCAGAAAACTCACAGCAACCCAGTAATAATTTCCCATAGAATAGAAGCAATCCGTCCCTAGTCTATTACAATGCAGTCTAAGCCCTGCCACATGCACAATGGAGGACCTTCATATAGCAACACCAGAGGCACTCCCAAGTGGGCAGCTACTGGTCAAAGGACATTTAGTATAATGCCAAGTTTTCAAACTCTGATTGTGTTTTTAAATACATTTATTTATTTATTTATTTGCTTTATTTTTATACCGCATTTTTCAGCCTAATTCGGCGACTCATTACAACTATACCCTCATTTGCTTCTAACCTGATAATAAGGCTGCACCAGTCCTTCCCGCCCAACGTCCCCAACGTCATAGAAACCCCCCTTCAACCTGGTTGGGGAGGGATATTATTGATTATTGATGCCACCGCCTATGGATTGCTTGCTGCATGGCTGGCTATTGATGCACTGGGTGGACTCTTAACGCAGCCTATGGATTATTACTATGATGTGGCTCTTGATGCAGTCTAGGTTTGCCTTTGCCTTGCTTTCCCCCAAGACTTTCTCTGCAGCCTCCCTCCCCGCCTTTTGTGGAAATCCCAGGGGCGGATCCGGGGAGGAAATGTGGGCGTGGTAGAGGGGGTGGCACTCTGCCGCAATGAATGGTTGGGGTCAGGGGATGGTGGGGCTTCCAGTAAGTAGCACTGGCCACTCACACATATCCCTTCCCTTATTAGCCATGCCCTTTGCTGGTTTCTTAACAGCTTCCTTGGGGGTTTGTTTTTATTTTGCATGGAAAGAGAAACACATCTTGTTTGCGTTGTGCGACAACAAGTGGTTAAGTGTTCCATCTTTTCAGAAGCTGAACATGGATTAGAGGTCTCGTCCTTCAGTTAGTAGCAGTTTTGAACCCTAAATTTGCCTTCGTTGGGCAAATTTGTGCCTGTCTCAGGTGGATCTACATCAGGCATGGCCCAATTTTGGCCCTCTGGATGTTTTGGACTTCAACTCCCATCATTCCTAACAGCCCCAGGCCCCTTCCTTTTCCCCCTCAGCCGCTTAAGCTTAAGCGGCTGAGGGGGAAAAGGAAAGGGCCTGGGGCTGTTAGGAATGATGGGAGTTGAAGTCCAAAACACCCGGAGGGCCCAAGCTTGCCCATGCCCAATATACATTGCCAAAGTAATGCCACATTAGCTTCCATGGCTCAGTGCAATGTAATCCTTCAACCTCCTCCGCCAAGAAGTCTTGGTGCTTCACCAAACTACAAATCCCAGGATCCCGGTGGCAATTCAAGTGTTGTCTCACTGCATTAATTTAGCAATGTATCCTGGGAAGTTAATCGACATTCTGTTTTCTCCAGTCCCATCTATTGCATTCTGTAAATTAGGTTGTCATCTTTCCGAGCTTTTTCTGTTTTCTCCAGTCCCATCTATTGCATTCTGTAAATTAGGTTTTCTTCTTTCCGAGCTCCAAAAATAATCTTAAAATATGACTAGACCCAAACCCAGCAGTAACAATCTCCCTGTAGGGCCGTGTTTCTGCTCGGCGATTGCCTTGCAAGAGGTGGTCTTCATGCGCAAAATGGCACTGCACCATGGCGTCCATGTGGAAATCCCACACCCATAAGAAAGGGAATGGGGAACATATTATTTAGATAACTAATATAGTAGGGATCAATACTGATCAGCTTAGTCTCCTGCTTTCTTCTTCTTCCTCCTCTGAATGAACAGGTAGCGGACACGATTAAAAACAATGGTCCGAACACCTTGTTGTCGGTGTAGATATTGAGATCCTTCTAGGCGATGTCTTATTTGCTGAATGAGTTCGTGGCTTGTAACTGTATACCACCAAGCATGAGAAATAACATATTTTTGGCAACATTTTAAATATATGGCAACATTAGCTAGTGCTGAGTAACATGAGCATCCTATTGTGGTTTCCAATGGATGCTATTCCTGCCGCCCTCTTTCAGTGTTGATTTTCTTCTCCAGCTCCAGTCTACAGAATTATACCTTAGCCAAAGCACGAAAGTGTGCTCACTGTATTTGCACCAGATCTATATATACAGATTTTATTTATTTATGGTGTCATCCGCAACCAGAACATTGTATTACATTTCTAACAGAACAAAACAAACAGATTAAAAAACACACAAATTTTGCAAACTTGGTAGCTGATTATATGTCCTTTGACCAGTATCTGGCCACTTGGAGTGCCTCTGGTGTTGCCGCAAGAAGGTCCTCCATTGTGCATGTGGCAGGGCTCAGGTTGCATTGCAGCAGGTGGTCAGTGGTTTGCTCTTTTCCACACTTGCATGTCGTGGATTCAACTTTGTAGCCCCATTTCTTAAGATTGGCTCTGCATCTCATGGTGCCAGAGCGCAGTCTGTTCAGCACCTTCCAAGTCGCCCAGTCTTATCTGGAATTCCGAAATCCAAACTGGTCCAAAATTGACAACAAAGGTGGCTGAGATAGTGACACCTTTGCTTTCTCGTGGTTCAGTCTACACAAACTTCGTTTCATGCACCAAATTATTTTAAAACATTGCATAACAACACTTTCAAGCTATGGGAATTAGGTGTACATGAGACATCAGTGAAATTCTCTCCCCCCCCCATTTAAAATAAATGAATTTGTTTGGGTTTGGGTTGCCAGATGTCTCATAATAGTTTTATACTGCACAGTTTTATATTCCACAATCCAGAACACTTTTGGTGACAATCATTTCAGATAATGGATACACAACCTAAATAATAATAATCATCATCATCATCATCTGGAAAGATTCTGGCGCAGGCCAGTAAAGGTGATCCCAGTGGTGATGGGTACACTGGGTGCAGTGCCTAAAGACCTTGGCTTGCACTTAAAAACAATTGCCGCTGACAAAATTACCATCTGTCAGCTGCAAAAGGCCACCCTGCTTGGATCTGCACACATTATTCGCTGATACATCACACAGTGCTAGACACTCTGGGAGTGTCCAACACGTGATCGAATACATAGTGATCTTGTTTGCTGCGTACTAATCCTGTGGTGTATCAAATAATAATAATAAATACTTTATTTATAGACGACCTCTTTCCCCAAAAACATATAAGAAGGCAAACATTCAGTGCCGAATGTTTGGGGTTCATATCCTAATGATTGCGGTTCATATTCTAACTAGCACATTATACATTTCAGCGACACCCTAAGATGTAGTTCACAGCAGCA